TGTTTTTCTATCAATACCAAGATATGCCACTTAAAACCTGGTGCCATAGATAACTTAGAATTAAACAATTCTAAGGTCGGGAATTTAACTGAAAATACCGTAACAGCACTTCCACATAGAAAAACTCAGTCTTGGTTACTACCACAATTTTTATTTTTGCTTCAATAGTATAATTTAGATAAAGGTGAAAAATAGAAAAGATTGGGTCTGTGGGCCTTTTGTGACCTCTTGAATCACAAAGCACCTATTTCACCCCTTAATTCTGTCCAAGACTCTCCAGGAAATTGGGCCTGTTCCCTCTTGTTTGGAAAGTGGCCTTCAATGTGCCATATGAAGGGGAATCATTGTTGGTTAAGCAATTAAAATCAGAGCCTTCCATTCTATCAGATTCAGGTCTACTGTTGTTTATACTTATTATTCACTGTGTTTGTGGAGGTAGAAGATATCCAAGATATTATCAGGAGATTTCAAAAGGCGTATTTCTTATTTGTCACTCAGCACATGCTTTGTGGGGAAAAATGTTCTCAGAATATAATCCTTTAATTAATCCCTTACTGTGTTTCTGAAAGCAAAGATCATTTTAGTCTAAAAATACTTAGTTAAAAACAAATATTATAGTATTCAACATCTTTATCTAGAAACATTTTCTAGTGATATTAAGTATCATTAATGTAGTAATCAAAATCTTGAACTATAACTTGTTCATGTTCATTCTTAAGAATGCATGCATATATTATTTCATGTTTAAATAATTTCTGAGCTCATGGATACCGAGCATCTCACTGTTTTCATTAAAGCATCCTGGCTTTTTTCAGGCTTCTGTACAAGTCTGAAAAAAGATGCTGCTGCTTTAAGAAATCATTAATTAAGGTTAATATGACTGTTAAAGCAAAAACAGCCATATTCAGGTTTGTGCTGGACTCATCTGGCATTGGTCTGAAGCTGAAATCAGAGAATTTAGACATTTGTCATTTTTAATTTCTGTTTGTCTATGTGCATTATTGCTAAGAGCGTCAAGAGTTGCAAATGTCCTAGATCTCTAAAAAGTCTGCATATGACCTACTCTGTTGAGCCATTAAAACTGCCATTGATTAGCACAAAATATGGAGGGGTTGGGTCTGGGGAATGATCAACCCTACTTCCATTGATTTCATGAGAGAAGAGAGGCTATATAAATGCATTGCTATCCATTGTTATAGATGTAACCCAATACCAAAAGCCACTAGTTCTCTATTTTTGAAATGTTCTGGTAGTAAAGTATCCAGTAACCCTGTTTTAATGTTATGTATTTTCTGATTTTGTGTGAGAAATCAGGATAGGCTGCATCTTGATAAACTTTGTGTGCTTCTTCTGTTGAATAAAGGGTTTGCTACAAGTGGCAAAAAACTGAGAATGTCACTGAACCTAACATGGTGCCAAAGAAAGAATAAAACTGCCCAAGGAAGAATGAGCTGCTTGTCCTTTTTCTCTTGATCTGGCTAAAAGCTGGGGAAAGAGAGCAGTTGTTCACTTATTCATTCATGGACTCCACGAGTAGTGGCAGAAACTGCTTTGCCAAATAACTATTAGAAGAATGATACTAGAATAATAGTGATCTAAAGCAACAGGAAAAAGACCAACAGTTGCATCCTATTTGAAGCATTTTTCTTTCTTTTCTTTTCTTTTCTCTTCTTTTCTTCTTTCTTTCTTTCTTTCTTTCTTTCTTTCTTTCTTTCTTTCTTTCTTTCTTTCGTTGGATGCTCTTCCTTG